AAAAAATTTCTGTGGTTCACAATGAAATTGAATGATTATAGCCACGTATTATATTACAATAAGTACGTAGCAAGGGACTGACCGTATTTATAAATGACATTTCAGTAAAACGTTTCAACTTTTATTTTTTTTCAAATTTGTCTTTTCTGTCGATTCAAATGTATGATGAAGATCGCATGATTCAACGCATTATTCTGGTTGTTCATGAATTGCTTGCAACCTCTAATTCAGTTCCTCACATTCGTATAAGACGAGCTGTGCTGCCAATTTGTTATATTGTCTGCAAAATGGAGTTTCGTTATAAGTATCCCTATTTTGTTCTGATATAATGTATTCAAAAAACACTTTATTGTGAGATTTTCACTGAACTATTTTACAAAACGCAATACGTGTTTCACCATGCAATGGCTTCTTCAGGCGTGTCTTTACTATATATCTTATTTTACAATTTGAAGTACCTACATTTCAAGTACTTACCTGATTTTTACCTAAGTTTGTAATTAATTAAATTACCTGAGCTTATGTCCCAGTTTACACATTTACAAAATATTCAGTAACAGAGAGTTAGTCTTCCAGAATGTTTAGAAATCAATAGATTCAGGAATTCGGGTAATTTACTGAATGATCGATTAGAATTGAGTAACTCTTCTCTTCTAAATGTAAAACATCGTATTCGTGAATAAACTCATGTCCTTCTGCTAAAAGGTGGTTTGCAAATGTGGAATTGGTCTTTCTATTTACTAAACTACTTCTATGCTCTTTAATTATTTGTAAAAATGTTCCCTCTGTTTGGACAATATACAGTTTTGGGCAAGAGCCACAAGTCAACTTATATACTCCTGATCTATCCGACACCGAAGTTTTGTCTTTATTGGTTTTAATAAATTTTCTTAGACTATTATTCGTTCTGTAAGCTACGTTTACGCATTTTTTCTTCAAACTGTTGTTAACTGCAATTTGTTTGATCAAACTCAGCTCTCCCTGGAAATTACTCTCAGACAGTGGAATATTCAAAAGTCTGTGAAGCATACCGTTGAATGCAGCAACTTCATGTTGGTGAGGGTGTGTGGAGAAATTGTTCTGATATCATCTAAATGGAATAGTATGCAGTGAGTAGCTCTGTAATTTTTCCAAGCCCAATGTATATTTCAACTAGCGTCCTGTCCCAGCTTCGAAGAAGAAACATAACAATTTTTTGTCATGGTATCATGTCAATTTGTTCATGAAAAAGGTTCCCGGTTTACCCGAAGAGCGCACTTTTGCAGAAATGAGAGCTCTATACAATTCCAGAACAAGTGAGAATATTCGAGAGCATTCTATAATATTTTCCAGTATTCCCAGCATTCTGGGTCGTGTTTGAATGTTGAGGAATTATTTGAAACTTTTTGTAATATTCCAGAACATTCCCAGCTCATTTATCCTCCGTCCATGAACATAATTTTCGTTTTCACCTGAAAGACGTACTTTCGAAGATATAAGGACTCCAAAGTTTTCGCCTTCAAGAAAGTTTTAAAGTAGTCCAAAGCATTCGAGACTAGTTGACACCATCACACATTCCAAAACATCACAGAATATTATGTTGTGTTCGAGAATAGTTTAGAACATATATCCCAGATCTTTGTGGAACGATCAAGGGAGTATGGTATGGTGGAACTCTATCTTGCATCCAAGAAAATGGCCAATTAGATATAGGAATAAAATTTCCACTTACTTAATGTATTGATATTGATACGACCAAGGTTTCGGTCATCTTTATAAATTCAAAAGTGGAGACCTACAACCTACAATCTGTTTGTTCATATTCAAGAGTGGGTATTTGAAAGCATTCCATAAAATGTTAGAACATACCAGAACATTCTGGAATGTTTGTGGAGTGTTCTGGAATGTCCGAGGACACCATAGGTTATCATATAACATATCAGTTTCGAATGCTGTGAAATGTTCTGATAGATCGATAGGAAATTCATTGTCTAAGGAACTGTGAAATATTGCTGACAAGTTCGGGGATTCATTATTATATGTGAACCTACATATATCAACTAGTTTTCGATATGGATATATGTATAACAATATGTATATGCCTTGTGTTATAATTAGATGTGGAACTACATTTTCTGTGCAAGGTTATGACAAAAAAGTTTGGGAAATGAATATGGGTTCGCAACAATAAAAAAATAAGTAGTGAATTTGGAGGCGATGATGCAGCCATCTACGTAGAGAACATTTATGGGTTCCACTTTCGTCTCTTTCCCGAGTGTCCTAACTTCCAGTGGTATAGTCGTTACCTCTAAGAATTTTTGACCGATCCTTTCGTTAACCGATCGGATAGCTATATTTCTAGCCTTCCATCATAACTCCCGTCGTACCACCAATTCAAATCTGCAGTGTCTATCTTACCCTATTCTTGGTCCTCTTGGTGAATGCTACTAAAATAATTTGCATTGTGTCTCATCGGTCCACCTTATTATAATATCCAGAGTTTGAGTCTTTTGCTTACACAAGTACTTTAAAATCAAAATTTTACGAAGAAACTGAAATGTATCATGCTCTTTATTCTGGAAGTCATGCTCAGATAGGAAACGGTGAGACAATTACCAAGACATTCTCATTGGTTTGTAGGTCTGTGAAAGAGACAGGACCTTAAAGCACGAGAAAGTACTGCAAGTTGTGATGATAATACGAATTAAATTAATAATTATATTTTATTCCAAAACCGACAATTATGCACAAGAATTGTGAAGTTACTTTATAGGACGGTTACATACAAGTCTAGTGATAAGTTAATTTAAAAGCGAGTGTTCCTACAATGGTTGCTCAAGAACTGCTTACAAACTACAATACAAAAATGTTTTGAGCTTTCACAAAAAAAGGCTGGGCCTTAGATATAAGTGGAAAAAGTCATAGTTTTGAAAGTACCTACATTTCAAGTACCTACCTGATTTTTACCTAAGTTTGTAATTAAAAGGCTGGTATGATAAGTGGAAAAAGTCAAAAATTTTGGGCTGGGACACTTTTGGTAAAGAAAATCAATCAATCAGGAAAATAGTAGACGGAGTCAAGGCGGAACATAATCAAGAGTTGCGGGAGAAGAAAAGCGTCTGGCTGGGCCTGCACCTTTCAAAGATTATAAATGAGCATTTGTGAAAACCCACTACTTGTATAGAAAAGTCATCAGCAAGATTCTATAACATACGGGTAGGAGGTCCAGACCGTTTACTTAAAAAAAAAGCTTGAACTTCTACAATAACTTAAATGTTTCCCTTGTCATTTAAATCGGCCTCACAACAAGGTATTGAAAATAATAATGAGAAGAGATATTACCAAATATTCACTAGCACTTAGAGCATAAAAAATTGAAATTGTCACAATTTTGGAATTATATGAGCCTGCACTTGTCGCCTATTTCAATCTGGACAATTGTATTATCTTATTGACGTTACGCCCAAATTGCAGGCCCCCAAGCCGTGGAATTTCCAACCTAAGTTCCAGTCAAAGCCTATGAAATAAAATCTTAATTCCAAATCATTTCCAGCGACGCAACACTCTTAAAGGGTAACTGAAATGCTAATAATAATAGTACAACAGGGTTAATAATAACCTTGAAATTAATAAGGCTTGAACCGTTGAACAAACAAATAGCTGTTCGCATTCCAAGATGTTCAAACAAAATAGCAAAATTTATGTTGAAGACAGTTCGAATACCACAGAAATTTTTTATTCCACATTCATCAAATTAAGTATATTCATTTCTATTTTGAATTCGGTATTAACGCCATATTTCAGCTTTTCAACTGTATTTTTTAAACATAATTTCATTGAAATACATAGCTAGGTTAGGTCAGGTTAGGTGAGTGTGTCTATTCGACCCTCCACCGCAACACGCAAGAGTTTCTTGTGGCTCACACTCGACCAAATAAACCCAGCTTCTTAACGAAGCCGATTAGTTTGTATGGTGAGTGGTCTAAAAATCTGATTCGATCTCCAGCAGGGCAGGCACAAAGTATACGCTCTGCTGTTTCATCATTAATGAAGTAGTCGGATAGTCAAGGTGGAAGATTCCCACCTTGATACCCGCGACAACCTTCCCATATGAGGGTTTTTGTACGTCAGCTACACCTGACGATGCCTTAGATTCAACCCTGCTGGGCTTTTTCGCCTCTGGTTTTGGTGAACCATCACTTGAGCGCAAACGTTTTCTAACCTGCTCGTGGGGGGGTTTGTTCCTCCACCTGAGACAGATTCTGTGTACGCCGCTCAGGAATTTGATGCAAGGCGGTTTTATAAGGTACCCCGCTTTTGAGGAGACGACTCTGTCGTTTCCTGGCTGCACCACCAAACCTTTTTTTTAGGTTCAGTTTTCGGATCAGGAGTTGGGGAGTTGAGCAGCTCTCGCTCCTGATCTAAATTTACAGCGAGGTCAGTTGGAGTCATAAACTCGACATCCATCTCCTCTGTAGACTCGCTCCTTAACTGAATTTACAGGAAGGTCAGTCAATAGCTAACAAATAACTTTCAAACTTTGTATCATATTCTTCGATGGTTTTCAAGACCAAATCTAGATTTCTGAAATGCAAAATGTATTTGATTACTACTAAACAATGTTTTCATTAGTTTCCGGGTTGTTAGTGGTTATATTAGTGATTTCAGCAATTACTACTTGTACTTGAATGGTTTTCTCCAACAAAATATGAATTTCCACTCGATATCATCAAAAACAGTAAATTCCCAACCCTTGAAGGAATGATGATATTGAAAATAATCAACATTTTCTTTGATATTAAAGGGTATCTTTTGTAATATAATAATGTTATTGGTTCTTTTCCTATAAAACTCACTTCATCCACTGGTGTTATAGTTATAGTAATGGAATTGTTAACGCCTCAGCGACTCCAAATTAATCACTCAATCGATTTCCAAGTGAGATATATAACCATTTTTAATCTCTGCGGCCGGCCCATAAACGCATCCAGCCTTGAAAACCATTTGTCACCCTCTGAAAGAACAACACCCAGATGAAGATAGCTCGCATTTAGGCGCTAAATCTTCCGACGTGAAAGAGGCAATATTTCCTTCAAGAAAACCGGAAACGCGTCGTCCCGGATATATTAATTCCGGATGGCGAGCGCAGCGTACTTCTCCGAGCCCTATTTCTCCCCGTAACGACCTTGGACCCATATTCCGTGTGACCCACTTCCCGGACGGATCTCACGTCTCCTTGACAGGATCGACGCTGAAGACTCTTGATCGGGAGGCCCGATGATACGCACCTGGATGACCGAGAACCGGTGTGAAGAAGTTACAGAAAGTGGAATTCGTTATATGACTTTTTTGGAACTTTTCACCTTTCACAATGTGAAAAAATGAAAACTTTATCGAGAATTTTCTGCATGATAAATTATATGCAGAAGAAATAAAACATCCTTTTAATCAGGATATAGTCAGGTATTTCCGAAAACAGAAAAATATTGTAGAGAAAAAACGCAAAGAACTGAAACAGGAATACTTTGAAAAGAAATGGAACAATACAGGCAATAACCAGAAAAAGCAATGGAAACTCATCAATAATCTTATTAAAGGCAATAACCAAAGTAATCAGATAACTAATTTGGAAATTGAGGGATACATTCTTGATAATCCCAAAAATATAGCTGAAAAAATGAACAAATATTTCGTTGATGTTGGTAAATCAATAATGAATAGTGTAAACCTACAAACAGCGTCATCTACTGAGTTTGAGAAAATCACAAGTGACTGTTCAATGTACCTATACAATACATACTCCCAAGAAGTTCAGGAAGAATTATATAAGTTGAATAAAAATGCAGCACCTGGTTATGATAACATAAATACTAACTATCTTTCAACACTCAAGGATTATATTATAGGTAATTACCTATTCTAGTCAAATTAATAAATGAATCTTTCAAACAAGGTATATATTTCCAGATATTCTCAAAGTCAGCAAGGTAACACTTATACACAAGTCAGGACCAAATAACATTATTGATAACTATATACCTATTTCAGTAGTTCCGACTCTGTCAAAAGTAACAGAAGTTATTTTAAAGAAACGTATTATCAATTACATGAAATAATGTGTTGCCTTTGACAATTACCAATATGGATTCCAAGAAAATAGTAGCACCGTGAGTGCAACTATAGACTTCATTAACCACATTGCTTCTTCACTGGATGATAAATACTACATTATTGCTGTATTTGTTGATCTATGAAAAGCATTTGATGTTGTTGATTTCTCTATATATATTAAATTCGGAGATGATACTGTTCTTGTATATAAGGGTGAAGACTTGAAACAACTCGAAACACTAGGAAATACAGACCTTGACATTGCTAAAAATAAACTTCAGATCAATGAAAAGAAGACTACTTTTATAATCTTCTCTCAGAAAAACATGAAACAACAGGACATCACAGTGGAAATAGGAGGCAAAGAAATAACGAGAGTCCATAATACCAAATATCTGGGACTAATAGTCGATGAAAACCTATGCTGGAATAACCATATCACCCATATAGAAAAAAAGTAATTCCAATGGTTAGTGCCTTATATCGTTGTAGAACCTACTTACACCCATTTTCACTCCATCAATTATACAGTGCGTATTTCTTATCAGTTTTTAGCTATTTAATTCCTATATGGGGTACATGTGGACAGACATTATTCAAGAAAGTAAAAATACTTCAAAGTCGTGAAAATGTTATTCAGGCTTGACTACAGAACCTCAGCTGATACTTTATACAGTGTAACCAAGATACTACCTATTCAGGATGTTCTAGAAATCGAGCAAGGTAAATTTGCATACAAAGTTATACATGAACAAGTCAAATGTAATACCAACTTCACTTTCGTTAATCAGCTCCACGAATACAATACTCGTACCCATTATAATGTCTTTTTAGAACCTGTATTTACTAATATTTTTTAAAAGGCCCACTTAAGAGCCGCAAAGGTTACTTCACCGCAGCGGCTACAAACAGATAAGCTGTTGTATGAGTTCTTGGAGACCCCGGCTTATTAAAGAACCTGACCTTTGCTGCTCAGGTAAAGTGAACTCAAATAGGAAACTGATGGTTCCATCATGACCTGTCAGGATGGTGCCTTCAACATCTCAGTCTACCGTAGTCACGTGATTAGTATAGAGGTCTCTGACATCAGCAGCAGGCCCTGCAACGAAGCGCTTGACTTGATCTATCGTGTCATCTCCCACATAAATGAATAAGATGGTCTCCACCGCTACTGACCTAAATTTTCCAAAGCTTATTATGAACTTCCATACAACTCCATTCTACATTGAATTGTACAATAAATCGAAATTGTATATTCTTCAACATTGGTTTGAAAATAAGGGAAGTAAGTCCTTTTCAGAAAAGTATGCGATTTTTGACTGGGTTATACGAGAGGACATTTTCTTGTAATTGTATTTCTGCTATTACATTAATTTTTAACATACTTTGAATGGACAAACAAGAAGCAATGCCAACTGGTTCGAATGTTTACAATGTTACACTTTCTGTGCTGAAATTTGATGAAAATTTGCCAGGCGTAATCAATCTTATCTAAATAACAACCTGGTTAGTATTTACAACGATGCCAGTATTTTTCTGAATGATTGAAACTCCTAAAAATATTAGTTTATTTTGAAATTGTTCAACTATCTTCTAGAGACTTGTTGGATGAGTTCAAGGGGCTACGAAAAGGCAGAGGTTTTACCTGATGCTTATCATTTTTCTCCAAAGCAACTAGGGGTCTAACTTGTCAAACAACGTTCAGAATCTCGCAGAATAAATACTACAGTTTTGGAACTGTTTCACCCTTACTTAGTTTATGAATAATACTGAATGACATAAAAAGGTAAACATTCATATGTCAAAAAAGTACCAGGAAATAACCAATAAAACGCGTTCAAAATAGCCTCTTCTGAAATAATACACTTACGCCAACGAACTACCCAATCATGATAACATTTTTTTCAGTTTTTTTTTGGAATCGTACTCGCTGCGAATTCTCTTGACTGGATCATTCCATTTCTAACAAAGAGAATTCTTCATAAAATTGAATGGTGTTGAGTCAGATAAATATACAATTGATGTTGGAGTAGCTCAAGGATCAATTCTGGGGCCATTGATTTTTTTTTTACTCTTTCTCAATGACTTCCCACTAAATATTGACATAAGTTTTTATCTCATTAATTTAGCTGATGATATAACTTTTGGTATGGCTGAATCATCTATAAAGGATATGATTCTATCGAAAGAACTCGTTATTAGTGAAATGGCAAAATATTGTCATTTCAATAGACTGATGCTAAATGTACAGAAAACAAAAATTATATATTCAATAATAACAATCTCATCGATAGTGAAGTCCTTCAGGAAAGTTTCTAGGTGTAATGATTGACAAATCACTCTCATGGTCTGAGCATGTTGAAAGTTCATCAAAAAACTCTTCAAATCCTACTTTGTGATTCTGCAATTGAGTTATGAACTTCATGAAATTATTCTAATCCAAGTTTTGACAGTTTCCTGCATTTACATTATAAATGAGCCTAAGAAAACTATCTACCACCACCAATATTACACTTGAAACGCTACTAATTCAATAACAGTAACTCACAGAACATCTGCATTTGAAAATTCAACTAAATATGCTGGTATGAAAATACATAATGAACTCCTTGATCTAATGAAGACCTGTAAGTCGAAAAAATCACTGAGAAATTTGTTGTTGGCGTTTCGATTATTGATATTTTGTAAATATCTCTGTGCACAAAGCTCAACTTGCATACTCACTTTTTGTTCATTATAATATACACTTTGGATAATTATTATATTAAGTGTAAATTGACATGTTCAATACTATTTAGTTGGTCTATGAGTGAATAAATTTCTTTCTACCTTCCTTTCTTTCTATGTTATCCATCGATTGAAAACGGGTCCTTCAAAGTAGTAATTCGAGTTTTGAAAGAAGAAAATATCGTTGGTTTGTTGAGTTTTTTGCCAACCTGAAGTTCGCTCACAATGATAGCCCTGGGAGATGGTGCATTATCGAAGTGCAAAATCCATATCTGGTCTTTTTAGACGCCGCATAACGCCCAGACAATATTCTTTATTTACTGTCTCACCTTCTTGGCAAGAATTTCGAGTACACAACACCGCGAAAGTCGAACAAAACTTCACTTTTGACCGACGAGCATTTTTCAGCGCCATTCCGAAGCTTGTTGATTGGTTCGCATATCAAATTCGTGAACCCATGTTTCATCACCAGCTACAATTAATTTCACGAATGTGGGGTCAGAATTTACTCGTTCTAACATGTCTCCAGCGACTTTGCTGAAAATTTAGCAGCTATTTCTCTCAAACCTAAACGCGATTTTCAGTCACCATTTCCTTCACTTTGGCGATGTCAAGTTCAGTAGAGGATGTTGATGATATGATGATATTGTTCAATATTCTTATCTATTGTAAAAATCGCAAAACCCGTTTGAGATTAATTAACAAATTGACAGATAGCGCTCAAACTCTAGCAACCTAGCAACAAATATAATTTCGACAACCGCTTCACGCGGGCTTTTTAAATGATCGATTCCTGGTACATTCTTGACATAATATATGTTTCTCCAATTTCAGTAACTTTTGGTGCATGTGCTCAATGTCTGACTCACTCAATTATTAGACTTTCAGCTTCAATAGCTGATTCACTGAAAGGAACAAATTCAGTAGTGTCTCGACAAGTTGTTTATTCAATATTGAATACCACAAAACATCTCAGAATGTCCCGTGTCATCGAACAAACAAGTTCGAGATCAATCTCGCCGAAATAATTAATGGACTTTCATGTATTTTCCGACCCAATTTGAATAAGACTTCAACGGTCGCTTTATGAAAATGATATTTTTATTTATGCGATGCCATTGAAAGTGACACCGTACAAATGGCGACCTTACTCGAAATTGTAAGCATCCATTTTTTATCTCTTCCTAAATTAACATTTTCGCTGCATAATTATTTTTGTTTTCGACCGATTCGGTTGCTTGATATCGAGCTATTCGCTATTCTGGACCGCGTTTAACATCCCGACGATAACATAAATCTCTCGTCGCGATGCATCCGCTTCTTTATAACCGTTTTCCGACGCTCGTTCATCATCAAACAACTCATCTTTTGCCAAGATGTCGACCCTAAGGCCAGTCGTACACTGGAAACTTTGAACAAGCAGCTCTTCAACTACAAAAATAG